TGGGATCTCAGAATCCACACCTTCCAAGAAGAGAGACATCCGGTTCTTCTAGAGACTGAAGTTGTCTCTGCTAAACCGGAGAGGTTTGGCAAGAGAGCCATTATCGTGAAAGTTGGTTCTAGTGTTTTGCAAAGCCATTTTGAAAGGAATAAATTTTTTAGTGAATAAAAGATAATAAAACAACAATTCAACACAAAAAGCAAACACTACTCTAATACCACTTGTTGGTCTCAGCCGGATCTACAAGAGTTTATAGCTAACAAATTATAGAAGGGGGATGAATACAAACGCAGTAACTTTCACTTTTAAAAATTATATTGATAAAAAAGATCAATACAAATTTTACTGATTGTTTACGGAAGAGATAGGATACAGAACCTATCTAAACAATCTAAGATACTCACAAAATACAGATAGCAATAAGAAAAGATTTGCTACAAGGAAATAAGATAAGAAGTAATGTGCTCTTCACTTGTTAAAGTGGGTCTTTCTCTTTAGACAGAGAGTAGACAGAGAAGTAACTTTTTGGGTAAGTTCTTAGTGAGGAAGATGATAACTGAGAGGAGAATCATTCAGCTATTTATACTCATTGCATTAAATGCAATTAAGAAGCTATAGGGAACGTGGCAAGCTTTAAGAGGTAAGCATGTCATTTGCTACAGCATACAGTCCTTTTGTTTGTATATGAACAGTCTTCTTTTATAAAGTACGTAAGCACATTTAGAGTCATAGGAGTGGCTTCCTAGTGTACTATACTTAGAAAGGTATGGGTTTGTCCTTTATGTGTAAAGGACAAGACAAAAACAATCTTGCTCGACAAGATTCATTTGATCGTTGAATACTAGAAGGATGCTGAAAGGTCTCATCAATATTCGTTGAATCTTCTGTTGACTTCACACATTTGTAGACAAGCTTGTTATCACTTAACATCGCTTCAAATCATGAACTTACTGGTCCCTTATCTTCAGTTTCTGTTTTCGACATCACTGAAGGACCTATAGTATGAGCTTTGTCTTTTGAAGTATATTGGTTTCTAAATGAATTACAATACATGTTCAGCTATCACTGAACAGACTTAGTGAAGATTGCTGAAATTGAATAACAGAATAAATATACTTCGATAGATAAAAGGATTATCATCAACTCATTGAGAGAGGGGATCAAAAATCTGTATATCGTCACCATCATATATGAGAAAACTATATCTTTCTGGTGCACGAAGCACTCTATCAGACCTGCGAACAAGTGGTGGTTGGATGTTAGATTCCTCAATAACTCTTTGTTGGGGCTCAACAACTACAGGTTTTACAACATGTCGATGAGAACTAGTGTCAACGTCAGATTCCATGTTGGTTGATTCTTGAATTTCTTCAAGATCAATTTGGCTCCCACTAGCCTCTTTGGACACCAGTTCTCGTTCAAGGAAAACTGCCCTTCGAGAAACAAACACTTTGTTCTCTGAAGGCTTATAGAAGAAGTATCTGAAAGAATCAGTTGGGTGTCTAACAAAATAACACCTTTCTGATCTGGGCTCTAGTTTGTCTTTAGCTTCACGATGTTCGTAAGCTTCACAACCGTAGATTTTTAAATATGCAAGTGAAGGAACTTTTCCACTCCATATTTCAAAAGGTGTTTTGGAAACCCTTTTCGTTGGTATAAGATTTAGGACCCTTGCAGCAATTTTTAAAGCATAGATCTAAAACCTGATTGGAAGTGCCTTCGACTTATCATGGACCGAATCATATCAAGTAACGTTCGGTTTCTCCTCTCAAATACACCATTATGTTATGGTTTTCTAGGTAGAGTAAGTTTTGTGATTATACCACAACCCATTAGATGATCTTGGAACTCTTGACTAAGATACTTACTATGATAATCGGGATTTAAGGCATCAATGGTTGAGGTAATCCTTATGTGATCTTTATGTGAATATGTGATAATATGCATATTTATTTATAAAGATGCTTATATGCATAAGTAAATGCATGGATCATATATATATATATATATATGTGTATGTGTGTGTGTGTGTGTGTATGTGTGTGAATGTGATACTATGCATACATGAGAATTGTTAAAATATGCGTGTATGCATATTCTTGGTTAAGGAGGAAAGATTTAAAAATGATAAAACTCCACCGCCTTGTAAGTTTTATAATATTAAAACCTTCACCACCTTTGATAAAAATATATATACAAGGGATAAGATCAATCTTATCTCATTTTTACCTACTGGTTATAAGAAAAGAGAGTAGTGACGGTGAGTGTGAGTTCTTGAAAGAAAACTTACATAAAAAGTGATTTGAAGAATCTGTGATTGTTAGAAGAAATTGTTGTGTGATTAAAACTTCAAACCTTTATATACAAGGTAAGTTTTGTTATTTAAAATTTCTTATATGTTGATATTCGAAATATATAGATTCCAGTAGATGATTTTACGGATAAAAAGAGGAACTGTTTATCATGTTAAGTTGAGTTTAAGAATCTGGGTTTTGAAACTGTTCTTGAAAGATGAAGAAGATTATGCTTCTTTTAAAAAGTTGAAGATGATATTCTATTTTTAAGAATTAAAGGGGTTTTGAGTTTGGAAAATTATATTAAAGAACTGTTGGTTCTTGAGTTTCGAAGTTTTGAAATAAAACTGTTTTGAAACTGTTATTGGTTAAAACTATAGAGGATGTTCCTTCAAGACGGTTGTGACTTCGGTCTGTCTTGATTGGAAATAATTTGTAGATTTTGATGAGAAAATAAGGGTGGCATATCAAGGAGAGGTTTTCCATGGGATAAAGGTGGCATATCAAGGAGAGGTGTACCTTCGGATATAAGGGTGGTATATCAAGGAGAGGTATACCTTTGGATATAAGGGTTGCATTTATATGTGTGATCGTTATTATAGCTCTTACTATTATGTCTCTTAAGATTGCAATAGTTTTGAGTTCTTATTTCTTTGTGATTTGAGGACTCAAAAATGTTGCTCTTATTGGAAATAATAGTAATGATGTTATTAAGAATGGGAAAATTTCGCCTATGGCCAGTGGTTTTGGATAACCATGCTTTTGACAAAGTGTACGAGTTATGATAAACCAGAGAGGCTCTCGTTGTTCCTTGAAAGTTACCAGAGGAGCTCTGGTCATTCCTCGAGTAGGACCAGAGGGGCTCTGGATAATATCTATCTATGATACAAGTCATTTCCAAAACTTTTACCTAAACCAGAGGCTCTGTATATTTTGTGTAGAGGCTCTATGTCAAAGATTGTATTTCAAATTATTCATAGGACTTCTTGATCTTATTTAAACTTATAAAATTATTCATACAAAATGACTTTGGCAAAGAAAGAGAAACCAGAGGGGGTCTGGTTGCTCTTTACAACTTAACCAGAGGAGCTCTGGTTGGCTTATGTAGATGAACCAGAGGCTCTAGTTAGTAGAACCAGAGGCCCTGGACATGCAAAGGATTTTAAATTATACTCTACATTTGTATATATGCTCGGGAAATATTTACATTCACCTATGTACTTGACTTTGTAATTATATGAATATTAACTTGAAGAGGAGCTCTGATTGATATAACCAGAAGGGCTCTGGTCAAAAGAACCAGAAGGGCTCTGGCCCTACTGTATGAGGAATAAAATTTTTCTAAGTAAAAAATTTGGTCTTTACAACCAGAGGAATGTTGGTTATTATGAATTATGGATTTATATTCTCATTATATGAAAAGTTGATTTAAATTATGTTTTGGTGATCTTCACCCTATAAATACAAGGAACAAGGGATCTCACTAGACCTTCAGGTCTAACCCTCATTTTGTCTTTCAAATATGTATTGTAGGAACAGCTGAGTACCATGATAGTAAAGGGAAAGGGAAAAAGTAATTTGTTTCCCTATGTGCATAACTATGTGAAGATCAGCCTATGGATGTGTTTAGTTTTGAAGTTATATGTTATGTAGTACAAGAACTTGTATTTTTGAATTTTTGGATTGTGTATTTTGTATTTTAGTTTCTTGAACTATGGGACCTAAGTGGTGCAATACATGTATTTCTTTGAATGAATTATGTGTTATATGTAATGTGAGATGTGGGGTGTTACACTTACCACCCCTATTGGATCTGAGAATCTTAATCCTCCTGTTTAGTTGATTCTCTCCCTTGTTTTAGAATATTCTGAACACCTCGAATGTTCAGTTCTATGTTTAATCAAGGAAATATATCCATACCTACTGAAGTCATTAGTGAAGGTAACGAAGTATCTCCCATCGTGTCTAGTGACTGATCTAAACGGCCCACATACATCTGTATACGCTATGTCCAACAAATCCTTGCCCCGCTCACAAGTCCCGTAAACTATGTCTTTGTCATCTTTCCCAGAAGATAAGATTCACATTCATCATTCGATGTATGGTCAAACGTTTCCAAAGTCACATCCGATTGGAGTTTGGTGATGCATTTCTTGTAATGTGACCAAGACGACAATACCACATATACGACTTATCCAAACCATCGTTAGATTAAGTCGATTCAACATTATAGATTGAACTTTTATTATCTCTTACACTTATACTGGTTTCATAAATACCATGACATGGGTTAGCCTTAAAATAAAGCATTTTGTCTCTATAAATAAGGATAGAGCCATTATCAAACCCAAAACCAAAACCATCTTTATACAAAACAAAAAAACAAATGATGTTTCTAGCCGTATCGGTTGAGTAGCAATGATTAATTAAAACCATAGACAATACAGACGAAAAAGAAATCTCGTAATTTTCTATCGTGTCAATAACAGCAATCTGCCTGTTACCCATGACTAGGTCCAGCTCCACTCATCTCAACTTCCTACTTCTTTTTAGTCAATACACATCAGTACATATGTGAGTACCACATCCTGTATCCAATACCCAAGAATTAGAAGCAGAAGTATTAGGGAGTTCAATCATATACATACTTGAAGTAGCTGCTCCATTAGCTTTGAGCTTTTTAAGCTCCTCCAAATATTTAGGACATTAACGCCTCCAATGTCCTACCTCCTTGCAGTGAAAGCATACATCATTCTCAGGAGTCTCTGATTGAGGTATACCAGATTGGGCTTTCCCTTTGCCGGACTTATGATTGGGGTTGGGCTGAACAGCCTTTTCTTTTCCCTTGCCTTTTACAAGGGCGACCTTGTTCTTCTTTATACCTCCCTCCCTGCTGGCCAGTACTGGAGCAACGGGCTTTGACTTGCCCCTGTTAGACTTTGTAGTCTTAAGCATGCCATGGAGCTCCATAATGGTTTTCTCCAAGTTGTTCATATTGAAGTTCAAAATGAACGGTTTGCCGCAGTTCGCAAAATTAGTTTTAACAAGGCTAAGATCCATATTTCACTCCCAGCTACGATGGGTTCGCCACATATCGCAACTATTAGTTATTTAGGTAGGTAACCATTTTACCAATTCCATCTATATGAAATTCTTAGATCCTTACGGGATATATTGACATCCCTATGTCAATTGGAATGTCTAATCCCTTCCCTGCTTATCCTGTCTCGTGACACGTTTGTCGTGGATCACAAGTTCATATTGTAAATCAACCATACTAAGACACATGACATCCGGCCCAAGACTTTCGGTATCGCGAACGTCTCAAATATCATTTCTAAAGTCTAACCGACGCGTTAGCTTTAGACCTTCCCCACGCCAAAATACTATTAGTTCATATACGTGTCTTAAATGGGTAGCGTGTGATTTATGTTAAAAAAATGGGGTTTGTTTTGTTAGTTACAACATTTTTAACCGTTTTATTTTAGCAAATTTCGTTTTAATCATTTTAAAACTATATTGTTAAACTCATTTCATTAATTTGCCAAAATACACTTGCAAGTTTTTTTAACTCTTAAAAGGTTTGTTGTGTTTCAAATTATTAAAAAGAATTATCTAGCTTGCTCTACCTAGATAACATACAAAAATAAGAAACACAACCATAAGCAAGTAACGGTAACTGTTAGCATCAAATTGATCCTAATAATTATCTCAAAAAGTTTTATTAAGCAATCGGGGCTAAGAATGGAACATCTGAAGATGTTGTTGTGCCAAA